ATTCTGCATGTGGAAAAGAAATCTTATGCCTTATTAATTCAAAATACCTGAAAGTTTGTTACCATAGGTAAACTTCTATAAAAAGTAATATTCTTCTGAAAAGCTTCCCACTTATAGTTCATCTGCAGAGCTGGGCATTTGCAATTACCATCAAAAAGGAAGTGCTTATTTGCTAGTGATCTGCAAGTGATTATTTTTTGTCCACTTAGACACACCAAACTGAACATACCCCCTACACACATGAATGCATACCTGAATATTTTCATTAAAATACAGTAATAGTTTTAAATACATTTGTTAAAATGATAGTTTAGAGAGTGCTTCCTATCTGTAGTGATGTTTGTAAGGCATGCTAGGGTGAATGCACAAGACTGGAACCTTGTGTGCCACATATCTCCACAGCATACTAACTGAAATGTTCAATATAGAGGGCTCTCTGGAAAAGCAGTTTTTAAAGTTAAGAAATACCTTTCACAAAAATTTTAAAGATCTTTCCTTAATTGATCTGTTAAATACATTTCATGCCACCTGCCTCACAAGTACAAGGACCCAAGTTCATTCCCTGGTACCAAAAAAAAAAAAAAATTTATATTTCTACATGTCAGTTTATCAAATGAGATAGACATATATTTCTTAGACTAGCTTATGCTAAATAAATCTTAACTGCCACACTGGCCTTGTCTATACTCAGCAGGATTTTAATCTAACCTAAACTGGAAGAAAAGCTATTAGTTAATGCAGTGGGTTCACCTCCATATATAAACCACATATGCATATACATCTATATTATGTGTAGAGATAGCAAATTTATCTATTAGCACATAGAATAGAAGTAAATAGAAACACTACAGAAGTAAAAAATCAGCTAAACATTTATCTTTTTTTTTTTCTTTTTGGTCTCTCCCTCTAGAGTGTAGGAGGAAAAGGTATTTTAATCTGTTTTGTGTTTTTGCTATGTTCTCTAACAATGCCTGGCACATAGAAGATACTCAGTAAACTATTCCTTGAATTGAATTGAATCTACAGCATGTTCCTATGATTAGAAATAGAAGGGAATCACAGACAATACAGTAGTACCACCAACTTCCCTAAATCCCACTGGATATTTTATTCCCAAATTGATACCTAACTTTTATAGTCACTGTCCTTAGAAGCTCTGTTGCTTTCTGATCAGCCTCTGATCCCCGTACCTTATGCAGCATGAGTTTAGGCCTTCTTGGAACAGACTAGGATAAAGGTTAACCTCTTTCCAAAAAGGAGAAATGGCTAATAAGCCCCATAGAATATTTCCAAGTACTCACTATCTTAGAATCAATATCAGTGTGTGTCAGTGTGTGCATTAGCCCCACATTTAAACAAAGAACAGCCCTTAGAGCCCAGTAATGACACTGGGCGGGGATAACTGGGGATGGGCAAGATGATGCAGAGATGACTGTATCAGCTCTCTCAAACATAAAGCTTCCAGGATGTTGCACAAGACTATTAGAGTATTCTTGTGCTTGGTCAGAAATAGAGAACATTTGGATTCATCCACTGATATATTCAACAAAATAAACGCTGTTTTTATCTTCTTGACTCAAGACATGGATTCAGATTACACCTTCCAGACTGTGAGAGAAGTTTGTTTCTATTCCTTGCCTTCCTGGAATTGCCAGGGAATGCAATGTCTTAAAGTTACCACACTGCTACATTAGTAATAAGGTAGGTACAACAAACTTGAATCATTAATGACTCAGGTAAAGTCTGCCTTTAGTGAAAATCTATCATGCTCATACTCATTCACATAGCATTTTCCAGATCTTCATAAAAGATATGTCAAGAGAGGGTAATTGCAAAAGATCTGAGCATTATTAAATCTACATTACTTAAATCTTTAGGATCAGAGTAAATATTCACATCTGACCAAGATTCATGCTCATCTTTACAAAATTGATCTGAGTGTAGTAAATGAGATTTTCTACATGTATAATCTGACTTTTCCAATTAAAATGGTGAATAGGGTATGTGTGATGGGATACAGGTGACTGATCCATATAGTATACACATTTAAGGTGTCATAAAACCGGAATGACTGTGGGCAAGCATGTGGGCTTCACAGCCAAAATGCATTGGTTCGGAATACTGGCCGAGTCGCTTACCTATACGACCATAGCCAAGCTTGTAGCTTAAGAATTGTTTTCTGAAAAAGTGATATTATTCTCTACTTCCTAATATAATTACAAGGGCTAACTAATATATACACAAAGTTTAGTCCAGTAACTGATACATAATAAGAACTGAGTAAATTATAGCTGTGGTTGATTATAATAATAATTATGATAATTATCCCCACAATGACCTAGTTATCTTAAAAGAATTAACTTCTTTGTAACTTTGTAATTCAGTAATGAAAATCACAACCAAAATTATAGGAGGTTAACTTATCGTGAGACATCATGGTCTAGACTTGACTACACAGTAAACATGATCTTGATGATCTTTCAGACATTACTGTAAAATAAAATTATTTAAATTCTAGAAAATTTCAGTAAGAACTAATAAATGCAACCATAGAGGAGCACTCTCTTCCTTCCCCTAACCACACATACACACACACACACATTCACACAAACCATCCACCCCTTGGGGATGTATTATATTTAGGCTTAGCCAGTAATTAAGACACACAGCTAATCAGGGAGCAGCACAGGATGTGGCCCTCTGAGAAGAAATAGAGTACCAGTTTGACAGCTCCGATTACCAGGGCTTTGTTCTGGAGCAAAAAGAGCAGAAAAGCATAAAGTTGTGGAACTGTAACAGTGTTTCGAAATTTGTGGGGGTGGGGAGGATCATAGGCTTGTCTGAATTGGGAGGATGTTGCACTAGATAACTGCAACAGCCCACACCCACAAGTGCCCTTCCCCACCCTCAAAGCATGACTTCACTTTCTAACACTGCCCTTAAGGAATCTGGCCTCTGCGACTTCCAGTAATTGTACAAATCACCCATGATGAAACAGCTGAGAGCACTGTTAGACAAAAGGGACAAGAATTAAACAAATAGAGAACTCATTAAAATGCTGCCTTTGGTTATTTTTTTTTACTCCTAGCAATTCGTGCTACCAAATGAGTCTTTCTTCATTGCTTTTCATTGGAAGTAATACTTTAGAATTCCAGGCACTGAGTGATTTTCTCCAGACTCATAATCTAACTGCTAGATATATTTGCCCTTCCCCCATCACCATCTAGCACTCCTCCCTGTCACCTTAGAGCTTCTGACTTAGCTGTGTTCACACCCAGCAGTCCCAGCAGAGCTTTCTGTTCACAATATGCGACATAAAACCGCAGGCAATGAACAATTCATGCTCCTAAACGCTAGTGATAAAGCTAGGCTGAGCTGACCTCTTCCATCCTGTACAGCTGCACATCAGCCATACAGGCTTAAAGGACTGAGAGTAGCATGTGTGTGATGTGGAATAAACAAACTAATTAAATCCAAGGTCTTTCACTCAAGCTAGTGCCTAATGGGACCAATATGCTCAACTCTATGCAAAAAAAAGAAAAAGAAAAGAAAACACAAGCAAACAAACAAACAAAACCACTTCACTTTGCTAGGGTTATTGCTTTCCTGATTCCTATGGTATATCTGTTTTAGGTTCAATAAACATCCTTAAAAAAAAAACAAAAAGAAAAAAAATTCAAGGTTTGCCATTCTTTCCTGTAATACTTTTCAAATATATGCTACCAACTCCACAGCACTGAGCCACAAGACCACTCCCTGATTCTAAGTGGACATATTGATCAATTGAACTGACATGTGTCTCCTCCTTTCTCTCCCCTAGAAACAATTAGTTGCACTAGGGAAATCCATTTCATTTTCCAAAACAAAAGGCAACATATTGCTCTTTACTGATGCTGTTATACTACATTTTTTAGAAAAAAAAATGATGGGGCTGGGGATTTAACTCAGTGGTTCTGCTGCCTGCCTCGCAAGCACAAGGTCCTGAGTTTGATCCCCAGTACAAAAAAAAAAAAAAAAAAAAAAAAAAAAGATGAAGATATCAAAATTCAAAGCTAAGAGTTGAAATAAAAATGATATGCATTTATCTACAATTGCAGCATTGAGTTGAGGTTTTGATTGAGTTAAGAGGTTTGCATTCCCTATAGTGATTAAGGAGGATTCTGATATTTATTCATCATACCAGATTTTGGATAAAGTTAAGCAAGAGACAGCAGCAGTATTGCCACTTGAGAGGCTTTCCCAGGGTTACCTGTGACAGCAACTGCCACAGAAAAGAGACTTGTTCCCTTCTTGGTTATAAGTCAGCCTGCAAACAACTCTAGCTATTTCAGAGACTAGCTAGAGATGGGAAAATATCGTGGCAGTCTCAACAAACTATGGAGGACACCAATTGAAGAACTACCATATAAATCAAAGCTCAAATCATATCATTTGGTTTAAATCTTTATGCTTTTAATAAATTTTGTCTTGAACATGCAGAAAACCCCCTTTTCACATCAGGGTTATGCCAAATGCTTATTCAGCATGCATTTTTTGCCATGAAGAAATTGAAACCCAGCCAAGTAAGAACTGAATTTTATACTGCAAATCACAAAATATTTTATAAATCACCAAAGCAAATAGGAATCAATTAGCTCTATCTCATAAAAACAAGAAATATTTATCTTTACAAAGCTTAAATACTGTGAACTACTCATTTTAGAGCTTATTTGGGGATTTTTGCAGTAGAAAATTACCTTATATTTATAAAAAAAATTCTATGAGAATACTAAAATTAGCAGACATAATTACAGCAAAAATAATTCTTTGCATTTTGATTCCTACATGACTCTTACAGGCCTTTGTTTTAACCCGGCAGCCTGAAAAACAGATTTAGGCAAAACAACCCTTCTTTCCTCAATCCATTTTAAGCAGACAACATCCCTCCATATCTGCCTTAGCAGACGCCGACTAGCCAGCAAAACAGCCGTGCAATTAAGGCCCAGACATTTAACACTCACCATCTCCTGCTCCCACCGTCTTCTTTTGATGTTTACAGCACATCTGTAGGATGAAATACTAGGAGATGCCTTGTTTGACCTGCTGCATGATGCTGTGACATCAGTTCAGATGATGCAGCTCATTATGGGAAAGACTGTTGTTACTATGGCAACTGGGATGTGCTAGGAATCCTTGCTGCATTTCTAGTGGAGCCTGAGACAATACGGAAGCCCAGTAAGAAACAGACAATATATGCAAAATTTGGATCAGAGGAAGAAGGCTTCTCATTGGACTAAAATTTGTAACTTTTATTTTTTCAAAAGGTATTTCCTCGAAAATATTTTGGAAAAATTAAAAATTACCTCCCCTTGTTGTTATACATTTAGAAAAAAATGAGATGAAAGCATAGATTTAGTATTATGCAAATAAAAACTAAAATGAATACTGCTTAGAGAATTTGACCTCTTCTTCTGTCTGGATAGTAGAATTGTATCTTTCCTAAGGTTATTAAAAGGAATTTTTGCTCATCTGTCAAAGACCAAAAGAATAAAGTACAGAGTGAAAAAAAAATTGTTAATGAAATATAAATAGCTAACCAACTGATTCTCATTCTAAAGTAAATAGGCTCTAATTCTCAAAACACTGCCAAATACTTGGCCAAAGAAATCTGCCTTGACCATTTCCTCTGGTGGACACCAACCCACAGAACCTTCATGCAGAGTAACCCAACTCTCAGCTAAGCTGAGAATAAAGTGATGATTCTAGCAGGCACACTACACCACACTCAACTTCTAGAGACTCTTCCCCTGCAGAGTACATTACCTACTTGTGACCTAAAGGCAAATGTTTTTTGTGATCAAATCTAACAATTGGAACAAGTGGCAGTCACACTAGAACATTCTAAAGCATGGAGATTCCAAATATTTGGGGTCTGCTTTCTTCTCTTTGGAGAAATAAGACCACCTATCACACAGAAGGAGATTACTCATGCCCTTCCCCCACAGAAGCTGGAGCTGTGAAAACTATATTAAACCAAGACACAGTGAGGTATTTCTCCAGTTGTTTAAAAAAAAAGGAAGTCTAAAGCAATCTTTCCAATCTTAAGCAAAAACAAACATCAGGTGGTGACAACCGGAGAGAAGGAGACACAGAACAATCCATCTCTTGCATATTTAATACTTACTTGCTACTTACAGAGACAGAGTCAAGCTAATCTGTACTCTATCTTCAGAACTCTGAGAAAAAAACATTTTAAAAGTGTAAAATATAAAGTGACCAATTATGTTGTCATATCCTACCTGGGATTATAAACAGCACTGTTAATCAAGAGTATGAGGGGTAGGGATGAAGTGGCAGGAAGAATTCAGGCAGTGATTTGTAAATAGGGGCTGATAAAATGCTTGAGAGGTGCCAAGATCCTAGCAGGGTGCACCATCAGCCTTGAACAAAGCAGCCCTGCCCTGGAAGGGAAGCCAGGATTGTTAGGAGACCAAGAGCAAGAAGCGAAGCTTCCAATTCCAGTCTCCTATGCTGTCACCAGCAGGGCAGGGCCTGACTCCCTCCTTTTATCTCAGACTACAGGACACCTGCACCAGGGAAGGTTAACAAGCAAGTTCCAGTGCAAAGAACATTAACCTGGGATTTAACAAACTCAAATTCTTCCTGTGTGATGTTGGGTCAATTGATTAACTCCTCTGGGCCGCAAGCGTTTTATCTATAGAAACAATGACCATGATTTTCAGGGGTTTTGTTAGTAATGGAACCTTTTCTTTTAATGATACAGTTCAAAGCTAGACTGCCTTGAGTAAGGATAAGAAGCCCAGAACCAAGACTGATATGCACTTCTACCTCTCCCCCACCCTTGTTTGTCCTAAACTCACCCTTTCATATATCTCTGAAGAACCCCTCAGTCTCTGGATAAGATAGAGTAAAAGTCATAAATCTGGAAAAAATTATACTTTCCAGAGCTGAAATCTCATGGATCTATAAAGAGAAGAAGGTAGGATAGGATCAGGTGTTCCACACTTGAATATGGATTTTCAGGAGGAGAAAAAAAAATCTTATTAGTCTGCTTTGCCAGCATCAAGTCATCTATTTGGTGGGAAAGAATGAATGGTTCATCAAACGTGAGGCCAAGTCAGACCTTTTATAAGATGAACCAGGTGAAAAACTAGCCTACAAATGGGCCCAGATTGGCTTTAAAAGGTGATTTTTTTTAGCAGAAGTCATGAAGTGTTTTCCTTGCTTTGCGACTAACCAATGACAGTTCACTTTGGAGTTCCCAAGGGCTTTTCTCTATGTTCCTACATCCCTAATTCCTGGGGTTTTTTTGAGAATTGCATGGAATAACATATACTGGAGCATTTTGTAAACCAGAACCTTGTTAATGCTTTCATTAACAGCACACTCACCTCATTAGTGGAAGTTCTTCAACTCTCAGATACCAGACTTTGGGATAACATGATTCAGAAATCACCAGCAAAGTCTGCACACCTATCAAGGAGGACCTACTGCCCAACACTCACTTCAGATAAGATCAGGAAAAAGTAAATGACAGGGATCCTCCCAGAAGACACAGCCAGGGTAATGGACAACACAGAACAAATAAATTTGTCCTGGAGAACAGAATCAGGATCAGATCAGTGAACTGAAGCAAGAAGCTTCATACTTAAGCAATTAGGATTTCAGAATTGTGTGAGAAAGCCTTAAAAATTATGAAAAAAAAATTTTAAATATTATACAAACAGCTGACCAAATGACTGTAATTCTAAAATAAATAGGCTCAAAAACATGGGCAAACTTCATGAGACAACATGTGTTTCGCATTCTGCCCCTGGCTCTGTTCCATCAAGAAATTTTGGACTTTAAGCTGAATCTAGAGAGTAAAAGGCATTTTAGGCACCTCCCCTGGAATCTTTGTAGAGACAAAAGGGAGAAAGAGACATTTGGGGGTCAGCAAGACAATTTGTGATAGTTACTAGAACAACTCATCAATACTTGTATTCTCTATGTCCTAGGTTCGCTCTAAAGGCCATTACCTCTACGTGGGCCTTAGAAGGAGTTCTCACCAAGAGAATGGAAGTGGAAGGGGAAATCACCATATCCAAAAGTGGTTAAGAGTGAATATGCTTTCTTATTTCCCTCCCTACTTGCTGGATATAAAGAACCCAGTGGAAATGTGAAACTCTGAAAGATAATGAACTCACATTGTGGGTAAATCCTGGCTCCCTGAATGACTATACTGGGCTAAGCCATTCTCTCCCAGCTATCTACTGATCCACATTGACTGTAATGACTGAGAAATTAACTTTTACTATATTGTGCCACTGAGACTTATTACATTTAGTCATAAAATTATTATAACTTAGTAAGACAAAATAAATTTCATAAAACAAAATTATGATATAAAGTATTATTATTTAATATAAACTGGAAACTTAAAAACAAATTCCTTTATTGCAGACCTTCTCAAATGCTATAATCTTGCTGATAAGCATTGAGACTGTCCTATAAGGAGGAATATAGTACAGCATGTTTCCTATTTATTTAACCATAGAATCTTTTTTTTAATGGACTAATGATCCATTGACTGTCCAGCCACAGTACAAGAAACATGTCTGTGAACACAATGGGCTAGAAGTGTCCTGAATGACCAATTCATCCCAGGGGCTACAGAAATGAAAGGAAGGAAGGGAGGGAGGGAGGGAGGGAAGAAGAAAGAGGGAGGAAGGAAGGGATGAAGGAAGGTAGGGAGGAAGGAAAAAAGGAAGGGAGTTTATTGTCTTGTCTTCAGTACAGTTCAGCCTATCCCCAGTCTTTCTCTCCCATCCTGAACTGACAAGACAGAAATTGACTGGTGTCATTATACATAGCAACATTTATATAAATATTTTCTTCTGGTCATTTTCCCCATATTATAAGTTGGAACTATACCACAAATTCTTACTATTTCAAAAGCATGAGGAAGGCTTTGTGGGACAGGTCTGGAAATACTAGTTAAGTCATAAAGTCATAAAGAGTTACATTCCACCCACATTGAGTTAGAACTCAAGGAAATGGCCATAGCTACTACAACAAGGGCTTAGAATAGATCCTAGCTTTGTTCCCAGGAAGAAAAGGAAAGAAATGCACTGCACAGTTATCCAGTCTCTGCAACATTACAAGACCAGAAATCTGACCCTTATTTCAGATTGCATTTTACCTATGTGTCTTCAATAACTTTGGTGGGTCTCTTTAAGCTCAACTAAATGTTTAGGTGCACATGACTTAACAATTTAGAGCTAAAATGGCTCCCAAAGTCTCATGTGTTGGAAAGTGACTGGATCACTGGGGGTGCTGTACTTATCTGTGGACTCATCCACTAGTAAATACTGCTGGGAGGAAGGACTGAGTTGGAAGAGGTAGGTCACTGGGGGTATGACCTTTCCAGACATATCTCCCTCCCTGACTCTGCTTTTTTTTCTTTTTTCCTGGCGACCATAATGGGAGTTGCTTTCTTCCACCTAGGCCCTCTACTATAACATTTCTACCTTGGAGCTAGAAATCATGAGCCCAAATGAATCTCTCCTTTTTTAGGTGTTAGATATTTTGTCCCAGCAAGAAGAAAGTGACTAAGAGAAATTTTTGTACCAAGAGTGGGGTTAATTTGGAACTGGGCTGCAAGAGTTTAGAAAGGTTTAGCAATGCCAGCTGCAAAAACTAAAATGCTATAAGATGAGTTTGATGAGTGATGTTGGTCAGAGCTCAGAAGTTACTAATAGAAATAATGATAGAAATACAAACAGTAAAGGCCAGGCTCAAGATGTTTCAGTTGGAAACAAGAATTCCACTGGCACTTATACTACAGACCATATGTATTACATTCTGGCACAAAATTTTCTACATTTTGCCTGTGTCCTGAGACTTTGCAGGAGACTGAGATTATGGGTGGTGGAACAATTGATCTGGCAGAGAAAATTTCAAGGCAGCTCAGTGTTCAGGCTGTGGCATGGATACTTCTTGCTGCTTTTAGTGAGAATTACAATGATAACTGGGGGCAAAAAGATCTCCAAAATATTTTCAGTTTTGCCAGAAAAGAAGTCCCTGCAAAGTTAGATCAATGGAAAACATGATTTCTCAAAAGATTAACATTAAAAAGAACTCAAGCATACTTTGCATCAGGAAAATTGGAAAGATGCCTTGAGGACATCTCCACAATCAGCAAGAATCTACTC